CCTACATAATATTATAACATCGATATCATAGAAAAGTATTTTTTTCTTCTAGATGATCGTGTTGATTGGAAATAGATTTAGGACTTTAGGAGTTTCGAAAAGAAGTAGGCGTATACATACAGGTATAGGTATTATACGGCATGTTAGGTCAACGTGTTTTATCGAATAAAAAGATTGTACCTATATGGAGCAACATCATTTAGATAATAATGTAGTATATCGTATATGTACATTGTCACCGGTGTCTAGCAGGTAATAATAAACTTAATCTTAAATAGACATAGAGTGATAGACTCGGCTTTATATATAATAAACACGTACCAATAGGCAATCATATAATATATACTATACTGCAGATACAACTCGAACGAAATTAGAATTGGTACTTCAATTAATTTTCTCGTCTTGAAAAACGAGTTATACCTATATACAGTTAACGTGGAAATAAATCAATAGCGATGTAATTCAGCGCGTTATTTTACTTCACTAAAATGACAATTTTACCATCAATTACATATTATTTATACCTACAAGTAAGTTTACGCCTCACGTGCGGTAAAATTATACATACAGTTGGCAAACATTTTTTTCTAAAACTTATCGAATTTTGAATGTCGTCGATAAAAATAATACACTGTGATACAGTATACACATAGGTACCTACTGTATACATTGCACGCATTGATCGGTTAAACATAATGTATATATATATGACGAATGCGTTATCTTAACGAATCACTGGGAAACAAATCGATTTGTGCAGAGTTTTCACCGATGCTGATGATGCAGCAGACCTATATATATATATGTAGGCATTACGACCGACGATGTGAAAGTCTATAACATCGCGGTCCCTCCGGAGGAGACGCTATATAAACGTCACGAACTTTGAATCGTGCGTAACGAGACGCTATAATAGTATGATAATATTTAGGCCATCGTCATTATTTTATACGAAAAAAGGCCGTAAAGGAAATCGGAGTTCATATTATACACGGTAGTTACACTGTGTGTCCATGTATATTGTGTGTTTACACATGCGGGGTGACAACGATGGCTGCTCGTGACGTTAAACATTTTATATTAATGATAAATGATAATTACAAGCAGTATACGAGATGATTAACGCGTTTATGTGTAATATTATAATATGCCGTTCGAAAAATTCGCAGTGATGCGCACGCAAGTGCCGTGTTTTCTTCGAAGCGTATACATCTGTTTTGTGAAGACTTAATTTTTTTGAAATTTTCGAGCCAGCTGATAATTTAAAAAACAATGAGTCACATTTTCTGGCACAAATCAGCCGGGAAAACGCACTCTATCGTATTATTTTATCCTCACATATTATTACGCGTAAAATATTATATTTTGCGTTCACTCCGGTCTTATATAGACGTATAATATTATTGTATTATTATGGGTATACGCGATGGGTTTCAACACGGTTTTTATTTCGGCAAAGAAACAAAAACGTTTACAAAATAATAATCGAATCCTGAGAAAAACTGTGTGCGTGCATTATGGACGCATACCTACTTTATATTATTATTATTATTATTATTATTATTATTATTATTATATCGTCGGGCGTGAGCGTTTCATTAATCGAACCATTTTGCGATTAATGCGATTGTAAAATATACGATCTACGTAAGAATCCGGCTATACATATATATAGTACAATAATTAATAATATTATATCATGGTGAACTATATGGGTTATGTATATCTATTAAATTATTGTGCCACAGTGGAGAGTGGGCGAACACCGTTTGCATTGATCATTAAAAAAAAAATAATAAAAACACATAAATTAATCTGTGCATCAATCTACACTATTCAAAATGTCAAATCACACCTTAAAGAGGCCAATTTCATGGCAACTTTATTTATTCGAAAATTTAATACACAATGCATTATTAGTGCCTATATATTATGTATACATAATATAAGCATATACTCTTAAGTCTTGTTTACATTTCCTTTACGCGGCTACTTTATTGAATTCCTACACATCTCCTCACGTAAATTTGAAGTATAATTGTGATTTTTTTCCCAACTTAAGAATAGTCGTTTAACTGTATTATAAATATATATGTATAGTATAATGTAAAATAAAATGTAAATAATTCAGAGAGTTCAACTAACCACTCTCGAGCTTGTTTGTATTGTTGAAATTAAATTCACTTTCAACTTATAAAACTCAAACATATTTTTATTATATTTTAATCGTTCAGTTACAAATGGAATTTATGTAATAAATATATATAAACTGTATTTATAATGTAGTCACGGAATACCTAGAATATGGTAAAAATTAAAATCATGTCTTTATACTTTATATAGCTGTTATTATAAACTTAAAATGTGTTAGAATAATGTGTTTTATGTTTTTTCACTCGATTTTGTATAATTTCTAATAATGTACAGTTTATTTTTGTCGGATGTGTACATTTATCTACTCTCAATAATCGTATAGCCTTTGGCCTTTAAATGCATTACCAATTACTTTATTAAATACAATAACGGGTTTTCATTAATTTACAGTATACAATTATGTTTTATTAGATACGGTAATAAATCAATATACTTATGCCTATATTATGTGCGTCGTGTGCGCGGTGTTTATTACTTCCTAATGTATATAATATACGAGTATGTATAGCTCTTCGAATTTACCGCAGTTATATAGGCTGACCGAATTAATATTCAAATGCAGTTCGTACTAAACGTTTCACATCAATTTCGTGTATCAAGACAATATGCGTGTCAATGTCACAATGATAGCCAGTTTGCCGCAGTGTATCTATTGTAGTTACCAATAAATAGTGGAAGGTTATTGTTTTATACAATAAAACGCTGGATTTTACTGGTATATAATCATTTTAATATACTCAGCATAACGTGTAATATAATATAATATTAATTTGAACTGAGCGTGGACTTTTTAAGGGGCACAGCATGGGCGGTATAGGTCTGAGGTCACGTCGCCGTCTCGAGTAGGAACCTAATGGTAAAGCTTTTATATTTGGCAAAAGGTTATCAGCGGATTTTCTTGGTTTTTTTCCTACGGGCGAGTTAAATTCTTTATCAATAATATTGATATATACATATAATATTTAAATTATAAGCCGAAAAAAGAAATGGCGTTACTCATTATTACGATAAATTATACACTATACAATATATATATATGAAATGAAGCAGAGGGTGGGGCAATTTGTAAATTATTGTTTTGAACCAAACAGCTATAATATTATAATATATATTAGGACACACAGAGAGAGAGAGAGAGCTCTATATAAAATTATGATATCAAAGCAATCGACAGTTTTATAAACATTTATATTATATACACAGCCTGCAAATCCGTTGATGATTTAATGTGTAGGTATATAAATGTATAAAAAAAACAATTATTTTTAGGTAACACATCAGTACATCACATAATATTAATAATAATGACTATAAAAATATAATGTTAGTCGTTAGGTATATGTTGTATAATAATTTTACCCGACGACGACGACGACGACGACGGGTTGTTGTGGTGGCAGTGTGTGTGTGTGTGTATTTCTACACATGGAATAGTCGATTATGGCGGACAATTTGCGATAACCGTTGAAAAACTGTCGTTTGTTGTCTGTGTGCTATTTTTTTTTTTAAACTATTAATCAGTTTACGCTCGAACGAAAAAAAATAAAACTTGAGAACAAAGCGATAAATACGAGTTTAGTATATTATTATATACTCTATAATCCACAAAATATTAGAGTGAAAAAAAATAATATATATGTCATCGGAAATGTTATAATATGTAACGTCTCCCCGATAGCGGCCACCTCCACTTTATGTGTTTATATACAACAATCACAACTCTATAATCGCGTAGGTACACGTAAAAAATTGCATGACGCAAAACAGGTTTTTTGGAGGGTATTTTGTTCTACCTAGCACATATCCGATTCCAAGTTATCGTGTCTATAATATATATTATATTCCCGCGTCACGTGACATCACGAACACGCCGTATTACTATTATTACACCTATTATACAAAACAGCCGTAGGTATAGGTATATAGTGCAAGAAAAAAAATTTAAGTAGAACCACGGCAGAAGAAAGAAATCGATTGGTCGAACCGTGGATTAGGGTTGTTCCTTTTCTACTGCAGTATTATAAGAAGCACTGTATGCGTATAAGGTTAGTTATATTATGTACAATGAGAGTTTTAAAAATTGCAGCTCACCCGCGGTGGACAAATGAATTATGTAAGGCGAGCGTTTGCCAAACGGTAAAATGCGAATAAATAACAGCCGCGGAGTCGTGAAAAATGATTATTATGGACCGTGCGAAAACGTTTCAAGCGGCAACGTTATATAGAATCCAATTTGGCTAATGACCGGCAAATCACGGGGCCCCCTCGTCCAGCAGCTATACATTTGCATAATTGCTATTGCATACTGGACCCCTAGCGCATTGTAGGTACATATAAACAAACTTTTTTTTTTTTAAACGACCGTTTTTATCCACGTGCGAGCTCTATATCATTATAACATACAATAATAAGAATTGTATAAAATCGACTAACCACTTATTGTGCGCACTTTAATTCTTCGTGTTATAAAATTATCGAGGTGACGAGGTTACACGATTCGCTGTATAACGAAAACAGCACTTTGAATTTAATCGTTTTTAAATAAACAACACACTTGAGACGTTATGCATGTAGATTTGGTAACAAATTCGGTGGTAATTATAATATGATTATTTAATTATTCACACACACACACACATACACACGAATATTTAAATTAATTACACTGTTACTAATTACATATGTTTTTTTTAATTTTACGCTGCTCAGCGAGAAAGAGAGAGAGGAGGTCAGGCGCAATGTCAATAACGCCTAACAAATTCGACCGAATCTAAGGACGATGTTAGACAATGGATGACCTAAAATTGAGACGTCAAACAAATTTATTAAAATAGTAAACGTACCGTGCCTGAACTCTCTGGGCCGCCAAGTGTGAGGCGACGAACAAAAAATTGAGTTTGAGGATAATTCGGTGTCCAAATAATAATCGTTTGCTGGTTGTAGCACGAATACGGTCGTGAAACACGAGTTTAATACATTTATGAAAAAACGAAAATAATTAATTATTTACTTAGAACTAATATATAATTACACGAGCACAAACAAACGCACACTGCCGAGAAATAATAATAACGATAATAATAATAAACAAAAAAATGAATAGTAAATTAAAAAATTGGTAAAAATAAAAATTATTTTCGAAATTAAAAAAGTAAAACAAGTAAAACGGAAATAAAAATATTAAACAGATTGGTAATAAATTTATTTTGAAGTCGTTGCGACCGCCCGTTGGTGCATCCGAGCACAGTGCATCTGAATGCAGGAGGACCGCTCATTTAGGTTGGTCGGGCCGTCGTCCTTGGAGAACACGAAATGTGCAACATGCATTAGGCTGTCGAAAAACTGCATTTCGCCGTCGCCGCCCGGCGCGCACACACGCACACCCGCCCGCCCCCACCCGTCCAAACGAACGCCGCCGTCGGGCCGGAGGAGGGTATCACGAAGACGTCCGATGCACGGCCGGCGCCGAAGACGGCCGAACCACTCTCGCGCAGGGAGCGGTGGGGCACCGGCAGCACCCCCGACCCACCAGTCTTTTTTGTCTCACGCCCCGCCCCGCCGCCGGCCCACGGTGCATTTCCTATAAAACCCCGCCGTCGCCGTTACCACCCCCACCCCGGACACCAACGCCGACGTCGTCGACGCCGCCACCACTACCACTACCACCGCCGTTACCACCGACACCACCACCCCCACCACCATCATCACCACCACCACCATCGTCGTTGTCGACACTACATACACACACAACACGGCTACTACCGCGCCGCTACCTCCTCGACCACATCGCGCGCGCCTACCCTCGGCCTACTAGGATTGACCAGTGTGCGTGCGCGGTTTTTTACGCCTAAAAAAAAAAATGAGAGAAAAAAGAGGGTCCCGGACCGAACAAAATAATCGATTTTCGTTGCCGAAACCTCGTCGTCGTCGTCGTCGAAGATTTATTATTATTATTACTATCGTAGTTGCGGCTAAGAAAAACAAGATAAAAATAAAAATAAAAATACGTTACAACGCGGATCGCGTTGAGGCAGGTCACATACACACATGGTGTACTATATATAATCCTGTATAGGTACAATATTTGTATATTAACGCTCGTCTAGTCGTGGTTTATGCAATAGTGATCGGCTTGCGTACTTACCGATGATGAGCACCATGTTGTGTGACCACCGGCGCAAGTGTTTCCTGACCGCCTGACGGTCGTGCGCCGCGGCCGGGCACGGGCCGCATCCGACGGCCGTGCGGCGCTGCAACTGCATCGTTCGCGCAGCGTAATCGCACCCCGTGTACACGCGTGTATTATTATTAAGGTGCACTGTGCAGTTTTATGCAATCGTCGTCGTCGTCGTCGTCGACGAGCGCGATACACTCTCTCTCGCGCGCGCGTATCAATAATTGGCGGGACGGCGCACGCGGCTCTCTACTCGGCCACACGACGGCGACGACGGTGACGGTGACGACGGTACGCGCGCACGGCGGACGGTCGCATAGTATATTACAACACCGCGCGCCAGTGATCCGGCGTGTGCATGTATATGCATGTGTGCGCGCGCGCGTGTGTGCGTTTGTAAGTTTGATGTGTTCGTTTGTAAGTCTGTGTGTGTGTGTGTGTGTGTGTGTGTTTGAAATCGTATGTGTGTACATGAGTGTGTGTAAATCTGTGCGTGTGTGTGTATTTCGCCGGACGCGTTCTTCGGTAGTGACGTCACGAGTCTGCGGACCGGACGGGCGGGCGGGTGGGCACGTCGTGATGCAACACGTAGTTGCATTCGTTCCCCACCAGTATACATTGCAACCGTACTCATACACATATATATAATATTATGTTGTGTATGTATGTGTGTACGCCGAGTGCACGGGGGCGCCCCCGCCGGCCTCCATCGACTTCCGCTTTTTTCCGTTCCCCTTCTCGTCCGGCCGAATTTTTTTTTTGTTATAATCACTTAGCAACCGAAAAAAAAGGGGAAGATAATCAATACTTCGGGTCTAGCCGGGCCACGCCAAAATACCGTCGTCTCCACGCCGCTGCACGTATATATACCCGACCGCTTTTTTAAAAACTTATTTCACACACGCGCGTACGAGGCCGTTTTTTTATCGACTCGACTTCGGTGACGGCCTATACGGAGCGGCGGCGGTGGCAGAGGCCGCGACGGGAATGGTAGTGAGAGCGGTGGCGGTGGCGGCGGCGGTCTGCGCGATAATGCACTCGAGGGAAAAACGAATACATTGCACAAAACCGAATCCCCAAAACGCGTCGCGTCTTGCGCGCTGTTTCCGACCCGTCACCGCACCCGTTTATATACATTCTTTTTGAGTACTACATGTATAGACATTACCCTACATATACGTTTTTTCAACGAATTCGACACAATATACTTCCCGCATTATCACGTTTACTGCAGTGCAAGCGTACACATTTTATAGACCAAATAATACACAGACCCTATTACACCCAAATAATAAATCTATAATATATAGGTAAATACTTTCCATACACTCGTAACTGGAGCTTATGGGAACTTACAATTATACGCATTAAACAGTTCCGTTTTTCCGAAAATGATAAACATAATATCCAACGTCTTAATGTATTATCATTGAGTATATACATTATACACACAAGACCGTTGCCAGAAAAATATTTAGGGGAGGGTTTTATTATAAATCTGTTATATTATATAATAAAATAATAAAATATAAAAATATTATTTAAATTAAATTAATCTTTATTTGAAAAATAATTAAACCTTATTTAAAAAACAATTTCGGGGGGGGGGGGGGGGAACCCTGCCTACGGCTTTGTATACATATATATTATACAATATGTTATACTCAATGGTATTATTAAAAATAATAAAGGGTCGTTGAATATTATTAAATTAATACTTTATCAGGTTAAAGTACATAAGAAAATATAGAATTAACGCTATATATGTTCACCAACAATGAGATAAAAATGTAACGTTATTATAATATAACAGAGTTCCGTCTTCTGAGGTTCTACTGGACGGCGCAAAATTTTGAATAAGCCTTTTACAGAAAATAAATGTTGTTTTCTCCAGAGGTTTTAGTATTTTACATTCGATTATCGATAGTAATTACTCCAGCCACTGTCATGCCAATTCTTTTTAACTTGCGGGGTAACGACCGAAAATATTTATCACCTATATTATTTTTAAGTATATTCAAAACATTAGAAATATCCTTAAAAATCATAACGTAAAGATATTATAACATCGATAACAATAGACGACAATTCTAAAAGCTTCAGAATAATGTTTTTATTTTCTAATAGGAATAAGAAAAAAATTAAACTAGATATAGGTAAATACATAATATTTTTTTATCAATATATGTTTCATAGGTATATTTAAAATTATACGTAAGAAAATTCGTCCTTTGTACCCTCATATTATGGCGCTTCTGATAGGTTTATGTTCATTCTTGCAAGGCGCATATCTAATGGACCGACCGAATACGAAATGCGATGGGGTGCGTCCCAGACAGACCGCTAACGATTCTCGTTATTTTTTTTTATTTCTTCGGGCCATGCAGTTTTCGCGAATCGGCCGAAAACGGTTTCTCTTGTGAAAAATTTCCATTTTTTTTGTCATCAGCGTGACAACCCTCTTTGTTCGGAAACGCTGTCTCCCCTTTTTTTTCTCGAAATATTATGTATAATATATAATATATAATATAGTGTATACATATTTCGTTCAGACATTGTTCTGAAGGGTCACAGCGGCGGTGGCGGCAGTAGGAGGATGTATTTATATACATATACGTATATTATGTACATACTGCACTTTATGTATTACATAGGCTCGGCGTACATATAATGTATATATACGACGGGGGTTGTGCTCCGCGTGGTTGCCGAATTTAGCTGGGCTTTTCTTTGTCGTCTCGCACTGCATGGGCCCCGCGCACGCACCGCCCGCCGCCGTCCCGTCTGCCGTTGCTGCCGCTGTCTGGTGCCGATAGCAAGCGGCAGCGGCGGCGGCGTTGGCGGCGGCGTAGGCCCACGTCGATAAAATTCCCGGCGAATTTGCATCTTCTCTCTGGCCGACGCCGCCCCAAAACGTTCAGGACGACGGCGGCGGCGGCGGCGGCGGTGAAGCGAGTGCAGCGGCTGTGCATTGCCGGGCGACGGAAGTGCGGGGCTGGTGCAGCGGGCGGCGAAGAACGTGCGCCCGCGGCGGGTGGCGGCGTGGCGTCCGGTGCGTAACCGAAAAAAAAAAATAAAAATAAAATGCCGCCACCGACGAAAATTAAACGGCCGCCGCCACCGCCGCCGCCGCCGCCGCGAAAAAAGAATTTCGTTGATCGATCGCCGCCGCGGCCCGCCTGTACCCTTTCTCACCGTCGTCGCACCCACTCGTCGTCTCGCCGTCACCCAATAATGTACCAAACGCACGCATCGCACGGCGGCGTTATCGGCGCGTCTGGCCTCTTACAAGCGCGGCGGCGGCGGCGAGTGCATGTACAGGGCGAAACAGATGCAGCTGCAGCGATCGCGTTATTTTTAATTCATCTCCGCGCGCGAGCATCAATTTAGGGCGGCGCGTGTGTAACTCGCGCCGCCGTTCGTCTTCTCGCTGCAATACCGCGGTATATATAATAATATTGTTACCGTTTTTAATAACGATGACGAGTGGGCGGTTTGCGCTTTATTATATTCGTTTATTTATATTATGAAACTGTGTTTATCACTAATACTGTAACGACTCGAGTTTGCTAAAGTTGTTATATTTTTTATTATTATTAAACACTGCACATAGTATGTTGAGAGTGATATTGTTTAGGTATATAATATATTTAATTATTTACCGCCGTATCTACTATACATAAACTTGACACTGCAATTATACCAAGTTTACTGACGGTACACTGTTTATGTGTGTCCAAAACATTACGTCAAGTCATTTTACCTCGAATCACTAGAATTTCGGCCACTGAATTTGCGTTTAACCAGCAACTAATATTAGAATAAGAGAAAATTGTTTCCGCCTTGGAAAGAATTTAAACTCAACAATATGTAATGTCACATTACTGTGAACATTATGTGAAATGTATTTAATACGCATGTATATATAAGTATATAAATAGGTATATAAGACGTCACCGCTACATATTCAGTCAGTCATATATTTCTATATTTTACTTAGTGGATACAACCTAAAATATACCAACATTAAAATAATTTTAAAACCAAAATTCTATAATTTTATCAAATAATACATAATTAAATATCAAAATTAATCTTAAAAATCAAACAGAAATTTATTTTTTTAAACATTACAATCCAGTTATCAATATAAATTTAAA